CATAAGGACTGAAAGCCTCCTCACATCACACTCGAGGCCTGAAAGCCTCCTCACATCACACTCGAGGCCTGAAAGCCTCCTCACATCACACTCGAGGCCTGAAAGCCTCCTCACATATGACCCTCGGCCTCACTCAGTCCAGAAAACATCATAAGCCCCTCAGGCATCAATAAAATAGTAGCGTTCAGCCCAAACAACAGTAGAAATATCATTTAAGTCTCAAAGTTCAACTAAAGCGGCTGAGTTTGTAAAACAGTATAATCAACAGGACTGAGTTCAAGTAGTATATTAAATAGTGAGGAAACAGTGATAAAAATCCCCGAAGGGTTCAGATAATTGGCACGAAGCCCAAATATGGCAATCAGCCCAAATCATGATAATAACAAATAAGTTTTAGTCAAAATACGCGGTAAAATCATCAATCGGGACGGACCAAGTCACAATCCCCAACGGTGCTCTACCCCACGCTCGCTATCCGGCGTGCAAGTCACCTCAATATAACACTACGGTGTGCAATCTGGGGTTTCAAACCCTCAGGATATCATTTACAATCATTACTCACCTCGAACTGGTGAAATCTCTAGCTCGCGACGCATTTGCCCCTCAATTCGGCCTCCACGCGCGTCGAATCTATCCAAAATCAGAGCGAATACATCACAATATGCTAAGGGAACAATACCCAATCGAAAACAATCGAAAAATATCAAAAATCTCGAAATTAGCAAAACCCGAGCCCCGGGCCCACTTCTCGAAACTCGAAAATTTTCACATCAATAGGTTCTTCATCTCCTCACGAGTTCATACATACCAAAAGTACTCAAATCCGACCTCAAATGTTCCCTCAAACCCCCAAATCAAATTTCAAAATCTCAAGCCCTAGTTTCCTCCATTTTTGCTTAAGTTCCATGAATTTCTAGGTAGATTACACAATAAAAACGAGTTTTAAGTTAAAAAATCTTACCTCCAATCGATTCCCCTTGAATCCCTCTTTAATCTCCTCTAAGAAGCTCTCAAAATGATCAACCATGGAGGAAAAATGACCCAAAATTGCGGATGAAGTGACTTAAAACATTCTACCCAGTTCTGAACTTCCATCACCACGTTCGCGACCTCAGCCTCGCGAACGCGAAGCACATTTTTATTTTATCCAAAATTAATCTTACGCGAACGCGATACCCACACCGCAAACGCGATGCTTTATTCCTCATATATTCACGAACGCGACTCACATGATGCGAACGCGAAGAGCAAATCCGCTGGACCCAACTCCTTATACGCGAACGCGAGCAGGTCCATGCGAACGCGAAGCACAATATCTTAACCTTCCGCGAACGCGAGCCTTCAAACGCGAACGCGAAGGCTTAAATTCCTGCCTTCCAATTTCCTTCTACGCGAACGCGAGGTCCTCTCGCGAACGCGAAGAGATAAATCTCTGCAATACCTGAACTGAAATTAAAATAGTCCGATTAACCATCCGAAACTCACCCGAGGCCCTCGGGACCTCAACCAAACCTACCAACATAACCCATAACCTCATTCAAACTTGTTCCAATCATCAAAACACCTCAAACAACATCAAATTACTCAAAACTCATCGAATTCAAGCCTAAGTTTCCAAAAACATCTGAAATACACTTCCGATCAAAAACCCGACCAAACGATGTCCGAATAACCTGAAATTTTGCACACTCATCCCAAATGATATAACGGAACTACAGCAACTCTCGGAATTCCATTCCGACCCTCGGATCAAAATCTCACCTCCCAACCGGAATTCACCAAAATACTAACTTCGCCAATTCAAGCCTAATTCTACACCGGACCTCCAAGACCAATTTCGATCACGCTCCTAAGTCACAAATCACCTAACGAAGCTAACCAAATCATAAAAACTCCGATCCGAGCTCATATACAAATAAGTCAACCCTTGGTCAAACCTTTCAAATTCGAAGCTTTCAATTGAAACTGTTCTTTCAAATTCATTCCAAATTTTCCTGAAAACCAGAACCAATGATCTGCATTAGTCACAATACATAACATGGGGCAAGTCATGCCCGAGAACTGGCGATCAAAGTGAAAAATCTCAAAACGACCGGTCGGGTCGTTACAGTCATCTTATTTAAGTGTGATTGGGTTGATGTAACCAAAGGTAGAGGAATTAAGGAAGATGACTTGGATTTCACACTTGTGAATTTCACACACCTGACAGACTCTGGCGATCGACAACGTCATGAGCCCTTTATTTTTGCAGAACAAGCTCAACAAGTAATATTTGTGCAAGATCCTCAAGATCATGAATGGTTTGTCCCTAGATTAATTAAACCTCGAGATATTTTTAATATGGGAGAGGAAAATAGTGTGCAGTTTGAGTCATCAACGCAAAGTGATGCCACTGACTTGGCTCTTTTAGAAAATGCTTGTGTTTTAGAAGATGAGTATAATGACTGGGTAAGAAGTGGTGTCGATGGGATAATAATTGATACAAATGTAGATTCTCAACCTTCTCCAAATGATGGTGAAGCTAATGTTGAGGGAGAAAATAACATAGAAAATGAATGTAATTCTGAATAAGATAGGTGGTACTTATAGAATATTTTTGTTGCAAGAGTTATGTAATAAACTCTAAGGGTGTTATTTTTTTGCTTCATAAATTTGAATATTGGATGTTTGAGTGAATTCATTGTGCTTTCTTCTACTTATATTTTGCTTATTGTATCCATTTAAATGTGATATTATAAGGTGGTACTATCACTTGATAATTATTTTCCTAGTGCATAAATAACTCTTATCTCTAGGACAATATTTGTCGCAAGGCTTTGTTTGCGTTACCTGAGTTGTTGATATTTTTCACATATTGAGATTTGGATGATGCTTCCTCATGTTTTGCAAGTGGCCTGCTGATTTGTTGGAGTCAATCTAATACTAATATAGCGTAATGCAGCTAGATAATTTTTTCATTTTGGAGAAGGAACTATGCGAACTAGAGGTCACAACCGACTGGTAATTGAACAAGACGATGATGAAGATGTGCGACCTTATATTAAGCATTTGATGGATAGTCAGAACCATTCTGCAACCCAGCCTTATATTGAGCAGTTGATGGATAATCAGAACTCTTCTGAAGACCAGGCACATGATGATCAATCTTGTAATTTGAATAGTTCTGCTGGTGGTGCTGAAGTTCAACGAAATGATGATGAATCAGGTAACACTTTTCTCTTGAATCATTTTTAAATCTTAATTGTGTGAATACAATGGTTAATCTAACTAGTTTATGTAGTGTAATTAGCAACTGTGATTTTCTGTAATTTCTATTGTGATATCGAACTAGTTATATAGTGCAACTTGCAACAATTAAGAGAGTGTCTTCTCTGAGTGTATGTGAAATTGTAACATTGCATCTTGACATTAGTTGCTTGATCTCCTCCACTTCTCTTGATACAGACCAAGGGATAGGCCATTCTTCTTCCACTGCATTCTTCAGTATCATTGAATCTGTATGCAGGTCTATAAGAACATAGTCATGTATTTCCATCTTTTTTTTGAATCAAAGCTGCCTTGTTTTCTTGTCTGATTCTATTCAAACGTCCAGTGCTAGCAACTTGAGTTGTATTTATAGAGTTTAGTGGTTTGGAACTTACCAAGGCATCGAGCAAATTCTTGTCCTCCAAAGTGATAGCTGGTGACGTTATGTCCTGCTGCTGCTTCTCACCAGTTGTAAGTGAGAAGTGTGCCTAGGTCAACTATAAAAAAATGTACAAGTGAACCTAAATCAACTAAACAAGAGAGTTGGAAGTGCAACTTCTACATACAACAAGACCTATATCTAGAAAAAATGTAGATTATCCCTATGGAGTGTGGCAAAAAAATAGTTGGAGAGGCTAAGGGCTATCTTCAATTTAGCTATGACAATGAGGCCAAAGAAAGCCAAATTGAAGATAGTTGTCAAAAGGACCCTCTGGTTGGGTGGAAGTGCTGCCTTTGTTTGATGTTTTTGACAGAAGAGATTGAGCATTGACCATCTCTTTTCATTACAATATTGAAGGAGAGAGATGACTTCTGGTGACTGGGGTTGAAACTTTTTCACTGGTTTTTTCTTTTGGAGGCTGCTGCAGTGTGAATTCTTCCGCAACTGGGAGCCGATGAATGGACCTGCAAACTTAACCAAGCTGGTTAGCAGTAAAGGAACATGTTTCAGGTGGATTTGATTGGGCAGCAATTGTGTTAGAACTCCTGATACTGGATCTAGATTGTGGGCCGATCTGATGCAGGAGTTTGTTCTGCACCAATGAAGTGCAGAGTCCTGCATTCTGCATTAAGTGGATCAAGTTCCAAGTGTTGCCATATTGCTTACTTCTAGGAAAGTGGTACTGGGATTGGGTTGTTGGAAAATTAGGTCTGGGCCCCTAGACGTGTCCCTGGGGATCCTATCTGTGATGTTTGATTGTCTTGCATCTTCCATCTGCCCATCTTGCTTTGTTACTGTCAGTAAGTGTACCTACAACCGAAATTTGCTTCCAGCTTCCAGTTTCATCCTCGCTTTCCTATGGACAGAACCAATTGCTCACCACCATGTTCTCCACAACACTCTAATGACTGTGTTGGAACTTCAAAAACAGAGGTGTTTAGTGTAACCATAGGTTGTTTCACCATATTATTATTCAACATCATTGCATTTTGAGCATCCTTAATAATTTGTTCGGCGTGAGGAGTAGAAAAATGGAGTGTTGGAACATTAGAGCTGTGAGCATGTTTGCCCGTAAGCTCCTCCACCAGATTTTTCTTTGAAACATTTGGTCGAGCATGGTTGTCCCTTGCTGAATTGCCACTGGCCAGAGGTTCTTTGGCACTGTTGTTGCATGGTACTAACTCCTTGGATATCATATTACCATTTAAACCAGTTGCATCACCTCCAGCATCTCCATCAGTTACCATTTAAACCTTTCCTTGTCATTATACTGTTATTTAACAGATTTAACCATATAAGTTTTTGCCATTTGATGACCTTTGAATCTTCTATTCTAGGTAATTTGGAGCCAAGAAAGGTTCGTGGGCCTGCTTTACTAAAAGATATTTGGAAACTTCCTCCGCTGAAGGTAGTTGATGTGACGTTTAATAATCGTATCCAAGCTATTGGGGAAAAAGGTCGAAAGCTTGCTAGCTTTCTAGGAATCATTGCGAGAACTCCAGAACTAACACCTTTACATGTAGATGATTGGAGAAATTTTGACAAGGAGGAAAAGAAGAAATTGGTGGATTTTGTGAGGGTATGGAGTAGTTATTATTATTTATTTATTTATTTATTTGTTTATTTGTTTATTATTATTATATGAATGGGTTCAATCTTTTATACATGATATTTTTTTCTAAATATTGACTTTATTTTTTTAGAAGAAGTACTCTATCCCAAGACGAGGAGAAGCTTATGTCCTAAAGCCACTAGGAAAGAAATGGAAAGATTACAAGTGTGAGTGAAAAGGTGAGTATTTGCGAAAATATAAGACTAAAGACCTTTTGCTGAAAAATAGACCAAGTCGCATACCGAGGGATCAATGGAGTGGTCTTGTCGCTTATTGGCTTTCAGATAAAGCTAAGGTATTAACAAATCTTTAAAACACCTCAAGTTGATTATTTTCGGTGTTTTAATTTTAGTTATGCTCAATTTTTATGTAAAATTTATAAGATATCATTTTAATATTTCAACGACAGAGGCGTTCCCAAGCAAATAGAAATAATAGTGCCAATCAAAAGATGCCTCACACAGGACGATCCAAAAGTGTTGCTACCTTGATGGATGAGCAGGTAAACTTGTTCAAATTACTAACTATAATGTTTTAATTTTTTTTCCACGTATATCTTACATCAATTTTATTGCATTAGGCTGTAAATAGGATAGAGCCTACACGAGCACAAGTTTTCATATTAACTCACACAAAACGTAAGGATGGTAGACCACTGGATGATGATTCTGTCAAGGCAATTGTAAGATTTCTTTTTTTCTTTTATTTTCTTAATTGGGAAATAGTTAGAAAAAAACATAAAAGCGAATAAATGAATTCCAAATTGGATTTATGTATTTTATGGCCAGGAAATGCTAAATGAAAGGACGAACAATAGTGAGAGCTCTACTGACCAACCTCCTCGGGCTGTTGCTTGGGAAGGCGATGTGTATTCTCAGGTGTTCGAAAATGACAAAAGTGGATATGTTCGTGGTTTAGGACTTAGTCCAACTCCTTCTGGTCTATGGGGTAATAGATCTTCCTTAGAAAATATTGTTGGAGAGGATTCGTCTAATGAAGCTGTCCAAAGATTAACACAAGGATAACCGAGTTAAAGGATAAACACAATGAAGAAATGAATTTGATGAAACAAAATCAGGAGAAGATGCAATCAGAATTACTCGAAATACGACAATTGATGCGCAAATATGCTTCCTATGAATCTATGCCTCAAAATATCAATGGTACCTCAATTGAACAGGTAACTCGATTTTATAAGTTATGTACATTATTAATGAAGTTTTAATCCTATAAAAGTATTGTTATCTGGTGTTTTAATATTTATCACGTCCCTGCTGCGAATAGTGGCCATGAACGAGTACCACAAACATCAAGGATACCTACTGTTGCTGAAAATACTTCAATGTCTCATGGTACTACTCATCTATATCCTTCGGCAAGCTACTATTTAAGTTTTCTATTGTTTGATCAAACTTCTGCAGATTTCACCTGCTCAATATGCCTAGGAGATAAATCTCCTTGTTTAGTACATTGAGAAAATTCTGTGCAGTTGACTCCTCATCCAGGACTTTGTTTGTCTGATCATCTTGCATTTCAACTCCTTTTGCCCCATCTGTAGCCAAAGATCTGTGTTCTTCTGCATGTCAATCACTTGTTTGTTACCTGTGTTGTTGTCATTTTGGAATTGGACTGTTTTCAATGGAACAGTAACCTCTGCTGCAATCTGCACCTTGGCTGCCTGTTTGTTTGGATCTACTGTATTACATTTTGATTTAGCAGTACTATCCCCTGCACCTTCTTGTCCTGTTTTGCTCTTATTCATACCCTCTATAGCTTCCTCTCCTCTGCCAGTAGTGGAAAATAATTGCTTGTAAGATGAATAAAAGTGTCAAATTCAGTATGCTGATGTGAGCACCACCTATTCTATTCAACTTACTCTACCTATAGTGATAGTGATAACTATGTTAATTCAAGAAGTCAACTATGTTAATTCTTGGAGCCTACGGCAAATAAAATAAATACTAGCTAGAACTGGGAATCTTAGAATATAAATGCTTTTTTGGATGGTCAGACAAGCTCCAGAATTAGTCATAATTCCATCTTGTTTGTTACTGTGAAGCTAACAATTCCGATAAGAACATGCCTATTCATATATAAAATAAAATTAACTGCCCAGTTTCTCTAAGTAATTTGGTTGCGAAATATATTACTCCTACTTGCTAATGCAGAAGCAGATTTTATTAATGTTAACTGTGAATACTTTTGACAGCCTATTGCGGCAGTTTCGTTCTTCAAGAGTCTCATATGTACAATAAGCATTCTTTGAAAGCTTGCAATAGAGTTCAACACACAGAAAAATTCTTCTTCTCTCAACAAGAACTCTGAACTCGTGATATTAGCATGAACTCTTGCCATTAGTTTGCAACTCCTTGTTACTGCCATCCTCATTCATTGAATTCACAACTACACTTGTCAGCTTACACGGTTCGGCCTCTT